TGTTAATATATATATATATATATATATATATATATATATATAGTAGAAGATGTGTCAAAAACTATTCTGAACGTGATATAAACGTCTTTGGGGAATGTTTTATAAGCGTCTACTGAGTAGAGTCACACTATCGCTCATTGCATTTAGTCATTTTCATTCACAAGAGTCTTTAACATTCCCGAAGCTCTCAATATGTTTATAATGAAATATAAAAAAAAAAGAACCATAAACATCCTCATTACAGTTTATTAGTTCAGGGGTTAAGGTAGGGTTGCAGTTTTCTTTTTTGCTTGTACTAACCACTTTGTTAATATATCACACTATCGCTCATTGCATTTAGTCATTTTCATTCACAAGAGTCTTTAACATTCCCGAAGCTCTCAATATGTTTATAATGAAATATCAAGCGCTTCTGAGGATGAGAGTTGAAGAGGCGTCGTGGGTTTGTCATGCTGTGTCGTAAGGGCAGATTTACGCTGCTAAAGACCCGTGCGTTTTTGGGTTGAGCGCGGACGGTAATGTGATGAAGACCTGCTGCCACTAGTGTCATTTATAAAAACCAGTGAATTGATAGAAGAGGGATGTTAGCCCGAGGGATTTGTAAAGTGTGGCATCAAAGTAGATTATGCAAATTGGACGTTATCTTGATTGGTTCTGAAAACAGATGGGAAACTGAAAAAATTAAGAACTTAAAATGAACTTGAGTGGAGTATGTAGTGGGTTGAAGGCTTCAGTCTTTTTCATACTTTAATAATTAAGTTAATGTGTATTTGACCTCAAATGGCTCAGTGAAACCGGTCTTTTGATTCACCTGGAGCCAGATTTACACACGACTCAACAGTTTTGTAGATATACTGTATAGGGGTTTAGTGATATGACTATGATAGGCCACATAGGCCACTGTAAAATGACCTGAATACACCCATGTTACGATAAGCAAGTGTAATAATAATGTAAAAAAAAAAAAATTGTTAACCAAATCATGATGCAAACAATCCCGAAAAGATATAAAAGAATAAACAATATATTAATACTTATTTTATTAATTATTTATCAAAACATAACATACTTAATAATAATAATAATAATAATAATAATGTTACAACACATGACATTTGACATTAAATTTTAACGTTTCTTAAAAATGGTATAAAAGTTTTGAAAACATAAACCAACATGAATAAGAGTACATTTCTAAGAACTTGACACCTGTTGTAGACTAGCTTTTTAAAGGATTCTTTAACATGGACACTCTTATTTGTTAAGATAATTACGATTTTTTAATTTGTGGTCATTGGGCAAAACACATTTCTCATTAAAACGTTCATAAACCATTCTAACATAGATTGTGTTGCATGCATTCAATTTCATGTAAAAATTTCAATTTCATGGGGAAAAAAATATCAAATGATTTATGGGTAGTATATTTTCCAGAACTCGTAGAGGGATTTGTAAAGTGTGGACCCAAAGTAAATTAATTTATCCTTATGCAAATTGTTGCATTTTTATATAATGCAGTTTAATGCACTGGATTCACAAATGCTTAACATAAATATTGTTCTGTTTCATACACGTGGCTTGCAAAAACATATGATTGCATTCACTGATAAATACATATTATTATTATATTTATTATTATATATTATTGTATTTATTATTATTATTATTGTATTTATTATTATAAATACAACATTATATGCTGCCCTTATAATCACATTATCACAACCAGCCAATACAAGAAACTGTGGTCGAGACAATCTTTCTGTGGTTTGTCAAACAATGTTTGCTATGACTGGACTTCAGCAACAGGGCACAACCCTTTGATATTTAACATACATGCGATTCCAGAGTCTTCCAAAAATAGGAGGAGGAAGATGACGGCTCTATAGTGGAGGGCAAATGAGCATTCTGCTCTCTGACCTCATTCCGCTCTGAGACACGAGGCAGAGGAAATATTTCTGAAATGCCATTTCAAATGGCAACAGCATACATGGCCACATTCATTAAAAATAAATAAATAAAAAATGACATAATAATAATAATAAATAAAATAAAATGGCAAAGCCTATTTTAAGACATAGAAGCAAATGTCATTGTAATTGGTCAGAAAAATGAATGAACAATAATTTTTTAAAAAGCAATTAGACAAAAACCTGGTGCAGAACTCAGTTCAGGTTCTTGAGCATTCATGCAGCTACGATCAATTCTGCTGGAGCTACACGTGGGAATCTGTCCAGATATTCTGCTGCAGCCACTACAAGATATGATCAGGCAAAGCTCTATCAGTGCTTCAACTTCCTCCAAATGCACACACTCTGATAACTGCAAATTCATCCTAGCTATTCTAATTTAACTCGGTTCTTATGATTAATGGGATCTTGTGTCTTGGAATTCAAATTCTGATAAGGAAAGAGGATTAGCTCCTGAATGAGAGAGAGAAAAACAGAATAAAAATGCATTTTTTCTCCCTGTTCTTCTGAGTGTTTCAAGAACATTTTTGGTCAGAATAACAAAGTTCATTGCTAATTAATTTTATATGTCATTTACTGATTATGAGCAACTTCTGTTTTAAAAGCATCTTCACACAATGCCTCTTTTTAGAGTGTGACTTTCTCACCTCTCTGCATGCACAATTCAAGAGATCTTCTACGCACATGAGATCAGAGAGTTGAGGCAAGTTAAGCGACTCAAAATTTCTCCCCTGGGCAATGAACATTCAGTCTTTCAACTTCAACAACAACAACAAAAAACATCAGCATCTGTATTACAATAGCTTAAACATCGCTGTAGAACATCACTGTAGTTCAAGATGCTGAAGAGTGCCTCAGGGCTATGTACTGGGGCACAACTTAATTTTCGTTTGACATCAGTTTACCCAAGTGTTGAAGTGAGTACTCAAGGCTGTGTACTGTGGCACATCTCATTTTGCCTTGGACTTCATTATACAGTAGACAGGAGCTCAGGAATACCTCAAAGCTATGTAAGGGGACCATTCCTGTTATGCAACGTTGTGAATTCTTTAATTTATAAATGAATAAATAAATAAAAATGCATGTGTTGTATAGTTTAAGCCAGACTATGTTTAAGAAGGGTATACAAGACTTAGAAACAGGTTCGGTCAAGCTGAAACACTTCACACCTTGATTATTCATTATAACTTCACTAATAACTTCATAATTAATATATTAATTACCAATTAAAATAATCTGTATTCTGTAAATATATGTTTTGTTTGAAATATATATAAAAAACAAATATTTCTTAATAAATTGCCAGTTTTTCATGTTAGAAGTTGCATATCTTTGTTAAAAATGGTAAAAAGTACTGTCGTGGCCAAAAGTATTGGCAGTGGCACAAATTTTGTGTTTTGCTAAATTTGCTGCTAAGCTGTTGTGGTGTTCATTCACATTGTTTCTAGATTATGTCACTGCCAATACTTGTAGAAACAATGTGAATGAACACCACAACAGCTTAAGTAGCACATTTTGCAAAACACAAAATTTATGTCACTGCCAATACTTTTGGCCACGACTGTATTATTTAAAATTCAAATTATCAAATTATTTAAAATTCATATCATGTTCATTTTAGTGTGATATTGTGATTAATTGAGGCATTACCATAATAAGAATGAGAAAGTTTCTGGCATTACAGAAATGAAAAAAAAAAGTAATTAATTTTTAATAAAATAATGTGACAATGCAACAAAATTTGTTAAAGTTACATAGCTTTGTCAAAAAAATGGCAATATCCACTTAAATCAAAGTAATTAAATTATTTAGAATTCACGCATGTTGATTTTATTATGATACTGTTATACAGGAAAAACTAATAGGATTTGCATCTTTAAAAATTCTTATTTTAATATGTATCAGATATATTAGACATTAAAAGTACTGCATAGTAGGAATCACACAACATTTATCCAGGAGAACCTCAAGGCTATGTCCTGGGGCACAACTAATTTTGCTTGAGACATAATTTTATACATAATTATAGACACAAACAAGGAAAAACTCATGGCTCTTGATTAACACGTGGGTTCCGAGCAGCAAACGCAGTAACTCCTGGTGAATTCACACAGTTGATGTCTATTACGCACAACAAAGAGCTTTATTTGCGCATTTACCATTAGAACCGATAAGCCAAAACGCACGAAACTCGATTCATAAGTCTGAAATCCATTCTCTTACCTTCGTCGTGCATTCTCTGCAGGCAAAAAGTCAGATTTCTCCTCCAGCTTGGCATGGCAAATAACTAAGAGTAATGCGTTATGCGGAGAGAGGCGGAAACAGACGCTCGTTTGTGGCGATGATGATGGACAGGTAGCACGCGGCTGGAGATGTGTCGGTGGTCAGGTGTATCGTGGACAGATCCTGTGGTGTTCAAGCAGTGGTCCATGAGCGGGCATCAGCTGTCACTCCTGAGAACGGAGCGCAAATGACTCACGAGTGTCACCGCCTCACCAAAGTGTGTGAACGCGTGGACCTCCAGAACGCTCTCAGATCCACGCAATATGCCACAGCAAACTCATTAACCCTTACTTTCTGGTGGGCTAGGAGAAGTACAGATCCTACACTTCAAGACGCTACTGGATGATTAGCATATTCATTCACCACGGGTTAATTTACGTATTTTATTTGTTAGTAGAAAGATAATTTGACGTTTTAATTACCCAAACATTACTTTTCTTAATTTTAGGAGAACATTTTCAACTTTTTAAAATGTTAAAACCATATTTTGCGTAAAGAAAATTGTATTTGTCATATATTGTGATATAAAGAATGAAGTACATCCCCTGCAGTACTACATTAAAAAAGAGAATTGTCTACAACATATTTTTGCTAATTTCATGCAGTTCAGCAAATACTACAATTAAATTATATAAATAATTTGTAAATACATTTTTAAATAATTATTTTTATTATATTTAATTTTTTTATTTTTAAACTAATTAATTTATATAAAATATATATTTATACATTTTATAATATATATTTACTAGTAAAAGTAAGAATTGTCTTTACATTTTTTTTTTAAATTAATACCAGCTTAACACAGTTTAAAAAAAATACTTTTATTTATATCAGCTTAAAGGCAGTCCAACAAATGCTATTAAATTATGTAAATAAATAATTTAATTATATAATTAATTTGTATTTTTATTTTAAACAATAATTAAAAAGTAAATAATTTATATTTTTAAATAAGAAGTGTATTATTTTAAATTATTATTATTATTATTACATTTTATTTGTAATATATTGTGACAAAAGTTGTAATAATGAAACACATTCCCTAATGTAATATAGTAAAAGTGAAAATCATGCCTAACCTTTTTGTATTAATGTCAGCTTAAATGCAGTACAACAAATACAATTACATTTTATAAATAATTTAATTATATAACTCATTGTTTTTAAATTACTATTTAATTAACTTGTACATTTGAAAATTTTGTTTAAAAAAGCTAATTAATTCAATATTTTTTTCAGTATTACCATGAGAATGTCAAAATTTTTCATATTAAAGGAATGAGAATTAGAAATAAAACATGCTAAATAAATGATGTTAAAACTTGTTAAATATGTGCTTCATTTTCTGTTATGACTTAAAACTTCAGTAACATCAGTCTGCCAGTTTTGATTTGGTCATTGGAACACATTAAAAGAATCGAAAAGAGAAATACGAACGGTGTATTTAAAATGGTGAAATCAGATGAGTGATTTGACTCTGTAACATGAGTAAGAAACTCGTCAGAACTGCAAACCGAAAGTGCTAAGCTGATGTGTATCCAAGTGTGTGAAAATACACATTTCTCAAAACAATAAATCACCGTTATTCTAAGTGACGCTTCACTTTCGCTTGTGAGAGGCTGCCACACATTTGGAGCTTTTTCCCCATTCCAGATGCAAACTCATAACTGGAGGCCGAGGGAGTGTTGGCAGGCCTCTGTGCTGATCTCCTGAACCCTTGGGCAACTCTGTCAAATCTGTATCCGAGGCATAATTTAATATGACAGTAATGGAAACAACTGCCATAGTATGTTCACGCTGGATGTTTAGACGGCGGGTTTATTTGACAGATTATGCAGGTGATGCCAACCATTTTGCTTATGGTTTAGTTGTTTTATGGTGTTTCAGGTATTGCATTTTGAAATACGGTGTAGAGTCAACATGAAACGCCATTTGCAATCTATTTTATTTCTACGCTCTCTACTATTTTATGTTTTGGTGAACTGGTGGCTAAATCATATGGATTTGTATAATCGTATTTGTAGTTTTCCATACAATCTTCTGACAGTTAGGTTTACGGGGTGGATCTTTATGCTTTTTTCTAAACAATAAAAAACACACACGTACGGATCACACGTTTTCGTAATTAGCGCACACTTCATATGTATGCGGTTCATATGGAAGCTTTTTTCCGCCACAGAATAAAAGTATTAAAAAGGTCATTTTTATCTCGTAATTACAGGTTTATATCTCAAAATTTAGACTTTTATCTCAATTGCAAATATATATCGCACAATTGCGAGTTCACATAAAGCAGTTCTGACTTGTAAAATCAGAATTCTCGCAATTCTGACTTTTTTTCTACGAATTCTGGGTTCACAGCTCACTGTTAACAACTCGCAATTCATTCATCAAAGTCTTAATTGCGACTTTATAACTTGCAATTGAGAGAAATTAAGTCTGAATTGTGAGATAAAAATTCACAATCTGATAAAAAAATATATATATATGAATAACACAGAAGAAGATATTTTGAAGAATGTTGGTAACCAAACAGTTACCGGTAGCCATTGACTTCCATAATATATATTTTTTTTTCCATACTTTGAAAGTCAATGGCTACCGTCAACTGTACAAACATTTTTTCAGAAGATCTTCTTTTGTGTTCAACAGAAGAAAGAAACTCATACAGGTTTGGAACAACATGAGGGTGAGTAAATGATGACAGAATTTTTGGGTGAACTGTCCCTTTAAACTAACATATAAATCCTGAACAATAAAACCATGTATTAATAAAGTAAATGGTTAATGTTGATTTCATGATTTTAAAAGTTCATTAAAACAAACATTTTATTATACACACAATATATTCTTTATAACCATTATATTGTATATAATTCAATTATATTAGTGAAATTAATAATAATAATAAAAACAAGTTAGTTATAGTTTAGTATAGAAAACTTTATTCTTCAATGGTCGTGTAGGTTTTCAAACAGCCCACTGTGGCTAATATTTTTGGACCAGCTTTCATTTATCATCCTTTTTTTCTTCTCCATGAATTCATTTCTCAACATAATTGACATGTTAAGAATTTTTACAAACAATATAAATCAGCTCAAACATCCTGTTTGGAAATGAACCACTGGAAACAATCTAAAACAGGTTGAAAACCAAATCAAATTTTCATATCCGCTCTGCCGGCTGGGAGTGAGATGCACTTTTAACGCTCAAGAAAAGTCTTTGAGGGCAGAACGATGTCTGATTGGAGGTGTGAGAGAGGAGACGGGCTTCACTGCTCGTTCTGCTGGCTGTCTGTGATGGAGCTCACGGCCCCCTGGCCTTTGTTGACGTCACTGATACAAGCCCACTGTCCGTCCACGGACTCCTTCCACAGGGTCACCTATGCGCAAACGTCAATGGGAAACATAGTAAATGACGTGCTTTTCATTTTTGGTTGAACAATCCCTTTAAAACACCACCACCAGGTTAGAGGCCAAATTTACAGTTACTATCACAGTGATTTAAGTGAGATTTTTATTTGTCATTAGACATGTTTGATGATCCATTCGAGAAATCTATCATTCCATCACTTGCTCAGCAATGGATGCTCTGCAAGTGAATGGGTGCCGTCAGAATGAGAGTCCAAACAGCTGATAAAAACATCACAATAATCCACAGCACTCCAGTCCATCAGTTAACATCTTAAGCAAAAATCTTCATGTTTGTAAGAAACCATTTATCGTCCACCATTAAGATGTTTTTAGCTTCAAACCATCACTTTTGACCAAAATACGAGTCCATAATCCATATTAACTTTCCCTACAGTGAAAAAGTCTGTCTCCTGTTGTTCTCTCACATCAAAATCCATATTTGTTTAGATCCGTTTTGGACTGTTTTCACTTGTAAACAGTGTTTGATCGGTGTAGATTTCTCTCCCGATTCAGACGAGATGACTTTTTCACTGGAGAAGGCAATAATATGGATAGAGGACTCGTATTTTTTGTTGGAAATGACAGTTTGAAGTTTAAAATGTCTTATTGAGGGATTTGTTTCTTACAAACACAGCTTTTGTCTTCACAAGACATTAACTGATGGACTGGAGTAGTGTGGATTACTTGTGGGTTACTGTGATGTTTGTATCAGCTGTTTGGAGTCTCATTCTGACGGCACCCATTCACTGCAGAGCATCCACTGCCGAGCAAGTGATGTAATGCTACATTTCTACAAATCTGTTCCCATCTCGGATGGTTATTTTTCAGCAAATTTTCATTTTTAGGTGAACTATTCATTTAAAACTGTTTATTAGTGCATTAAACTTCAATAGCAAAAAATAAAATGTCTTATTGAGGGATTTGTTTCTTACAAACACAGCTTTTGTCTTCACAAGACATTAACTGATGGACTGGAGTAGTGTGGATTACTTGTGGGTTAACTGTGATGTTTGTATCAGCTGTTTGGAGTCTCATTCTGACGGCACCCATTCACTGCAGAGCATCCACTGCCGAGCAAGTGATGTAATGCTACATTTCTACAAATCTGTTTCCATCTCGGATGGTTATTTTTCAGCAAATTTTCATTTTTAGGTGAACTATTCATTTAAAACTGTTTATTAGTGCATTAAACTTCAATAGCAAAAAATTACAGTTCAAACTGTAAATTTGAATCAAAAATAATATGCAATTAAAATATATTTGGGTAAACTACTCGCTATTACAATATATTGGTGGATATGAATAAAAAGATAAATCTTTTTTTCAATATTTAATATATTTTCTTAACTATACTGTATTTCATTCTTTAAATATTTTGAATTGAATGTGATACAATGGTTGATTTGAAAAGCCATTTTAAGCAGTTTCACAGTAAATGCATATAATATTGTTCAAATGTTGGAATTTTTAAAGAAATTAATACTTTTATTCAGCACAGCAAGGATGCATTTATTTGACTGGCTAGTCAGGTTAGAAGAGGCCATTAGGAAAAAGCAAACATCATGTCTTCCTGTTCCAGTGACGGCGATGCAATCTAAAGCTCATCTTGTTTAAAGCTCATAATTTCGGCGAGCAAACGAGGCACCGAAAACACCTTCAAGAATTAATGCATGCACACCATTAGCTAAACAAAACAAACAAAAAAAAACAACAGTGCCTGCTTTAGCTGCCTAGAACCACCTAGTCAGGGCTGTATTTAACCCGCGCTTATTTTCAAAGCCCTTTTGC